CAATAACATTCATAAAAATGTCAGGTACCCACAGAGTAAGAATAAAAATAGGTTTTTAATCTGGACTTAAAAACTGGCACTAATGTAGCTTGTCTAATATGGAGAGGAAGGCTATTCCAAAGCATCGGAGCTGCTACAGAGAATGCTCGGTCTCCTCTAAGTTTCATCTGTGACTTAGGGACAGAAAGCCACAGTTTCTCAGCTGACCAAAGCAAACGAATGGGGACATGGGGCTTCAACAAATCAGACAAATAAACAGGTGCCAGACCATTTAGAGATCTAAAAACCAATAAAAGGACTTTAAAACGAATCCTAAATTCAATTGGAAGCCGATGTAGAGAAGCTAAAACCAGAGTGATGTGGTCGAATTTCCTTCTGCCTCAAAAACATATCGGTTAAAGATCTGGAGCACATTCTACCAGATATTGTCCATATTTGTGGCGAATACAAAGGTATCACTACCTCAAATAGTACAAAATTTTAAGTCTTATTCTAATCAAAATAAACAGATACAAAAATGACATGAACAAGAGAAGTCTATTGAGATTTTATTGAGCTTGTTTTAAAAAAGTGAATATGCTTGGCCTTGAAAATTTCAGCTTGAAAAACACTCATATCATTGAGGCCTAGACTGAAGATTAGTTTCTGCAATTTTTGAAAAGTTACTTTTGGATCTTTTTTTATAGTTTAGTTTAAAATTGTGCACGGACTGCCAAAATAAACACATCTATCCACCCTTTTGAGGACATATGTAGGACAAAAGAACATTAATCATGTTCTTGATAATTGAAGGTTGTGGGTGGAGCTCATGTGGCAGATGGTGGGCCACAACCATCTCCCAGGCATCCACTAGATGGACATTCAGTTCTTTGAACATATCCCTGAGCACCTTGTCCTGCTGTAATGAGTACCAATCACTGTTAGTAGATGCATGAAGGAAGGTCGTCAAACTTTTGGGGTTTCCAGTCCGAATCACAATCATTGTGTCTGGAGCCCTGGACAGCAGCCGGACCATTGCTCTGCGGATGGTCTGCAGCCGGCGGATAAAGAACTCAATAGGGAAAGTACCAAAGTGTGCCCAGATACCAAGTACTATGACCGTGTCCCTGCCTCCAGGCACCTCGTCGAGCTCATTGGCAATATAATGCAGCTCAATGGCGGGGACACTAAAAGATCGTAGAGGAGGACCGTGGGTGCGGTATGTCACCAAAATGTTGTTTTTGTCGTCCAGGGACATCAAAGGTCCAATTGTTTTCTGGCTATGCATGTTTAATGCCTTTAGATCTAAAAAGGATTACACAGGGAATAAGTTAAGCAGCAATAAATCAGTCGATGCCAGAAAGGTTTAGTAGATCTGCTACCTGGTAGTGCTGCATCAAGGTACTCAAACCACTGCCTCATGGTGGAATCTCCATACATATGAACGGTTTTTCCTTTTAGACACTGAGTGATGGCTGAGGAAGAG